ACACACACACACACACACACACACACACACGTCCTGATGCACATGCAAGTACATTGCAAGTAATATACAACCAAATGATATTTCATTTAATGGTTTATATTGTGCCTTTTCAGCATTTTTCATTTGTTACGATTAATTAATTCTGACTGTGTATTGGCCCCTTACTTTCAGCAAAACTGTGTCAATGTATGCAAGTTAGAGAGATATCACCAACCATCTGCCATATATTTATGACTGCAAAAGTGTGTGTCTACCTCCCCACTGAGGCTTAATAAAACTGCAACAAATAAAACACAATCCACAGGCTTCTAGCAGGATGTAAGTTTAGAGCAGTACATGATTAAGGGGTCATTTCACAACAACCAAACAATGATAATAATAATATACGTGTTTTCGCAACCAATCACCCATTAGCGTGTAAGAAGTTTTTAAAAAAAATAGGCCACTAGATATATACCTATATCATAAGTAGCATTCTTTGGGTTTGCTTTTTTTCCACGTTGACCTCAGGGTACCTCTAATCTGCTTTAGTAGTTGAGAAAAAAAATAACGACTTTTTTCAGTTTCCAATGCAGATGTCAGGGCCTAATTGAAAATTAAGGTGTAAGCCTACCTCCTTGGACTAATGAAGTACACCCGTGTTCTGGAACGGGGCTTAAATGTTCTTCTATCTTCTCAAAAAGAACAATAATAAAAACAAACAAACAAGCAAAACACCTCCCCCCCCTCCCCGAAAAAAAAAGTTTTTTAATGTGTATACATAATTCCTTACCGGTAGTGTTTCATAGACAAATGTGAATGTGATTTAGTTCCTGGGTATTATGACAATTTTATCCTTCTATACACTCTCCATCACCCCCTCCCCAATGTGACTACTCACCTTGAACAAAACGACAACGCCTCCTGCATGCGTTACCATCCCAGTTGTTGCACGTTGATCCTAAACAACGTATGCAGAGCGCTCATACAGTGCAGAACCACTCTGCCATGGCCGCTGTCGACTTTGAGAAAGTCAAGGTCAAAGCCATCAAGCCATTGTTCGTGCCTTCCGTAAGTCTGCTCATTATTTTATCCTAACACTAACGGTAGATTTGAGTTAGTGTGTTTATTCTTTCACAAATAGTTTGTTCAAGAAATATTTGATGAAGATAATATATATATAT